TGCTCTGGCTAGTGATGCTGGCTGGATGTCAGGCTGTTTTCAGCTCAGCTTTGCAGCCCCTTTTCTCACGTTGGCTGGCACATGGCAGGACTGCCCCGTGTTTATCTGGCGTGACATTTGGGTGAGTACAAGAGCTTTTTCTCTGAAGGCAGTAGGTTCTCTAATAGGCTTCTCTGTCAGGCTGGTGGCTGGCTGTGTCTGTTTTAACCTGCTCCTGGTGACGGCAAGGAACATGTGGGCGTTTGGCAGTTGGCAGACAATATGGGGAGCAGTGATGTTCTGGGAGCACAGCTCCTGGTGGGGCTGTGATGTGTGTCCTGGGTCTGACCCCTCCCCAGATCTGGTGATGGAAATCTGTGGTCATGCTATTGAAGTCAGGGAAGCTGAGGGTCACCTGGATACGGCTCAAGTTAACTTGTGATGGGATGCCAGGAAGAAGCATAGTGGTCTCCTGGATGTTTGGGGTGTCCCTAAAACGATCACTGTTCCCGAAGTGCGGGTTTGAGCGGGTGATGCTCTGTGAGGCACAGCAGTGATCTGCTGCTGGGGCAGCAGAAGTGCTGGAGGCTTTTCAGAGCAAGTTAGACAAATGTGGTACAGGATCAGTTCGTAGTGAGTTGTATCTGCCTCGGGCTGGGTGAGGATTAGGTGTGTCTCTGTTTCCTGAGCCCTGAGTTCCTCCCTGGAGGGAGTGTGTTACACGTAAGTGTGGCTGGGGGGATGTACAGTGATGTCTCGGGATGGATATCTTCAGCATGAGCATTAAAAATAGAAGATTTGGGAGTATATCCATGGCTTTTCATCTTCTGGGGCCTTTTTGCATTTCCTTCAATTTGGAGAGGTGTACATAGGACCCCTTTTCACTCTGTGCTCGTGCAGTGGCATTGCAATGCAATATTTAGGGTAGTGCATCAGCCAAAAGAATACCCCGAAGGCTGGAGATTTTTGGCTCTAGCTGGGCTGCGTGCTGGCCCCCTGCAGCTGAGGGAATTTCAAACCCAGAGCAGCAAAACTTCTAAATCCTGGAGAGAGGTGAGATGGGAAGGAAAGCGAAAGCAGCTGCACTCAGCAGCACCAAGATCTCTCTCCCCTGTTCAGCCCGTCTGTCACTTTAATACCCACCAGCGTATCTCTTTTATAAACCACAAATCATTGCAGGTAATAAATGCCACTAAACTGGGAGCTCTTGAAAATGAGCCTGATGTAACCTGCGGGGTGAGGAATGGCCTCTCCCTGGAGGGAGCAGCTGGGTGTTAGAGCACAGGGAGCTCAGCCCTCCACACCGAGAGGTCCCCCTCTCCCACTGGAGCCCTGTCCCCCTCTCAGTGGGTGCTGTGGGGCTCTCCCTGCCCAACTGTGCTCCATAACCACTTGGGAAAGACCCTGGGGGGTGGTGGAGGGGTGCTGTGCTGCTTACTGAGCTCTTAAAGCGGGGGTTTCTGTCCTGCAAGGGTAAGGACTGGACCCTGGAGTGGGCTCAGCGCTGTGCCTGCCATCTCCTCTGATGGAAAAGCAATTACCATTCATTTTTATTTTAATGTAGCCATTTAAGAAATAAATTTTAATGCTTCCAATTTGTTTGGTATAATTAAGTGATAATTCCCTCTGTCTGGGAGGAGAACATGGCTGCAGCACACGGGGGTGTTTGGTCAGCACATTTTGACAGCTCCCAGCTCCTATGGCGCAGTGCTGGCATTGCTTTTTAGTGAGATTCAGGTGGTGCTGGAGAGATGGAGACAAAGGGTGCGAGTACAGTGTTTCAGGTTGACCTTGATTTTCTTTAAAGAGCATGGAAGAGAAGAATAGCAAACTACTATTTGTATGCCAAGGCAGCTGAGCTGAGGCAGAGCTTTGCATTACTGCTGCTGAGAGTGCTGGCTGGCTGGATCTGCTGGTTCCCATTGTCTGGGACCACAGCTGGGCCGAATTTGCAGGTCGTTGCTCTGCCTGTTCTCCTGAAGGATCTGCCCAGCACTCCACAGAAATACTCAGCCATTTCCAAGTGCTTTGAAGCACACTCTCTGCGCTGGTATGTTGAAAAAGAATTTTTAGGCAATTTTAGACAGCTATGCTTGAGCTCTGCATAGCCTTAATGACAGTGGAGAAACTGTCTGGCACCAGCTGTGAGGTTCTGCTTCTGTCAGACATTTGGGTGATGCTGATTGTGTCTCATCCCAGCACTGTGCTGTATAGTTGAAGAAATTGAGGCACAGGGCAGAAAAATGACTTCTCAGAGGTCAGGACGCAAATCTGTCATGCTCCAGGAGCTGGCTCTGCTTTTCTAATTTGCTGGCCCGTGCTGAATTTGTCCATGGTAATGCATGAAAATTCACCTGGAAAGAAAATAAATTATTCATGAAAGCAATAGTCCAGAGCTGCTTAAACTGCCAAGGCATAAATCCCTGAGCCGATCCAGTTGTGGGCGGTGATGCACATCAGAGGACGAGGGATTGAGGAGAGGGGAGAACAGCAGCTGGTGATCTAGTCTGTTGTTTGCCCCTTTCTCCTCAGCTGCTGGGAAGATGCAAAGTGTGGCTTGACTTACTGCTGCTTTTTATTGTTGCTTTGTGTTCCTTTGTACTGCGGCCCCCACAGTGCTGGGGATGTGCGCATGTGCCCGTGCTGGGTCCTGCTGCTGGAGGGTTACAGCCCAAGGAGTATTTATGGGTTTATTAACCACATTCTTTATGCAGTAAATGATGTTTAGCTGACTACTGAAATTTTTCTGGGAGAATAAGTTAAAATAAACAGCCCTGCTTGGACTGATTGGTTTTCATGCCAGCTCAGACTTGTACGTGAAGTGATTTTGATGGATCTCAGTCCAGTTGTCCAAGACCTGTTTCACTGATGCTTTTCCATCACCCTCCTCTAATTCACGCTTTCAGAGGAGATATAGGAACTAACATGGCCATGGCAACTGATTTCCCCTTCAGATGGGCCCTGCAGGCTGAGCCCCAGGACAGAGATGAGGAGTTTGTGGGGATGCTGCGTTGTACCTGTCTGAGAGAATGGCAAATGCCTTGCCCTGGCTGCGGTCCGACGGCCACCTCTGTCTCCCTGCTTACCTGATGAACACAACAGGCATGAATTTACAGAAGAAATAATGTGGCATCCCCGGTGTGCTACACACAGGATGAGTCTGGGGTACAGCAGCAACAGCCCATGCGCCTCTGCCCCGCGGGCAGCCTGGTGCACCCCAGGGCTTCTCCCCTTCCAGGGGGATCTGCCTCGTTGCTCCATGCTGTGGTCCCTGGAAAGCATCAGGATACCCACTCGCATCACCTGAAGTGATGGGTGATGAAAGGCGGCTGTAGGTGGCTGTTGCTAAGCTACAGGCTCTGTCTGCTCAGGTTGTCGGAGGGCTCGGAGAGCTGAAGGGCTGTGGTCAGACCTGGGGAGTAAGTGCTGCGGCCGGGCAAGGCGGTGGGCTGCAGGGAGGAGATGACCTGTTCCTGGCTCAGGGAGTTTTGCAGAGCCCACTTGTTTACTCTCTGCTCCAGATGAAGCAGCAGGAAACAAGTCTGGTTCTCCTTTTTGGGAGAAGGGAGTCCATCCCCTTAAGAAATCCAAGGGCTATAACGGTTGGTTGCTTTGTGCTTAGGTATCTTAGATAGGAAAGAGCAAGTTGGCTCTTTGCATTTCACCCCACAGCCACACTGTTGTATCAGAAGAAAAAAAATAACCCCAAGCAGCAGATGGGCTGGGGCACTGGCCCTGGGCTGGGTGTCTGCCAGGAGGCAGGGAAGTGGGTCCAGGAGTGAATCTCTGCTCCAGGGGCTTTCAAACGGTGGTCCACAGAAAAGCAGAGCCAGCCAGCCCTGCTTTCCTGCTGGGGAAGCTCTTTTCAGGAGGTCAGTGGGACCTCAGCATCCGTGGGGAAAAGTCTCGGAGTCAGTGCATGAGGAGAAGAGGGAATGACTCTGTCCTAGAGCAGAGCACTGCTCAGCCAGCAGTATGCCTTCTTTGGGTTTTTTTGGCAACTGCTCACTCTACCCTACAGTCCTGTCTCCAAATGTTCGTGCAGGCAGCATGTGCTGGGAGAGCCTGCTGCGTCTGCAAGGGCAAAGATAAATCTTACTTTGTTTTAAGGGCAATTGTTAAACAACCCCAGTTACACAATGAAGGCGGAGATGCTCAGTGCAAAACGCACCTTATTCCACGCTGGGCAAGTGAGCAAGCCGCTGCCTTTGTTCTGTTCCGTTTGTCCTCTCTGGCCTCCTGTGCTAATTAATCTCATCTGCATGGTTAACAGCCATTCTGAGAGAGGAGACGAAAAAAGACCATGGGTTTCCAGCGAGCGCTTGTGCCTTCTCCTCCCTGGGCTGTTCTCTGGATCCCTCACAGCTCCACGGCTCAGCCCATGGATTGGGGCTGGAGAGGCAAGGGCTGGCTTTCGCCTTTCCCAGCCGAGGGCTACCGGAGCGGGTCCTTCCCTGGGTCTGCAGGGGGATGTAGACAGGGGTCAGGAGGAGGAATCAGGTCAGAGAAGGAGGATGCAAGGAAAAGTTCCCCAGCAGGCAGGAAAACAGCCAGGGAAGTGAGCAGACGGCTTGCAGCCTCCTCAGTTTGAATGTCGCTTGGGGGCGGGGATGCTCAGGGAACAGGATAACAAACTGACTCCAACCTCTCTTGCCTTTTTATTACATTTTTTTTTTACCCTCCCTCTTTTGTTTTGTTTTATTTTTAGGATCGGTCTCTGCATGAGCTTCGGAGGCAGACCTGGAACTGCGGGATTAATGGAGATGCAATGAAAGGTACCGGTCGCTGCTGTTCTGTCGGGGGGTGGCGGAGGGGGCTGGTGGCTGGGGGAGGCTGTCTGACGGGGATGCTCCCATCCCTGCTCTGCTCCAGGCTGCCTGCAGCCCTGCCAGGGGAAGGATGGTGTTTGCACTTTGCGTTTCTCTGTTTTTCCCTGGCACTTCTCTGTCTGCTCTGTTTTGCAGCGTAGCCAGCCCCCTCCCGTGGGCAGGGACCGATGCTGCCTCGCCCCGCCAGCCACCATGGAGCTAGCTAATACCAAAGATTTCCAGTGGAAAACCCTCGCCCCGCTCCCAAGCCGCAGGGTCTACTCGACCTTGGTGGAAGCTGGCGGGCAGGTGTTTGCCATCGGGGGCTGCGATGACAACGGTGTCCCCATGGATTGCTTTGAGGTCTACTCCCCTGAGGCCGACCAGTGGACCTCGCTGCCACCCATGCCCACGGCTCGGGCCGGGGTGGCCGTGGCCACTTTGGGCAAGAGGATCATGGTGATAGGAGGGGTTGGAGTGAATCAAATGCCGCTGAAGATAGTGGAGATGTACAACATAGATGAGGGCAAGTGGAAGAAGAGGAACTCACTGAGAGAAGCAGCCATGGGCATCTCGGTGACGGCAAAAGGCAAGGAGGGTTCAATTCCTGCTGTGTCCTTCCAGGGCAGGGAGGGATGCCTGCGGGGTGGTGGGATGGGGAGGGTTAGCATCGGTTGGTGCATCAGGCACAAAAGCTTTCTGGGCAATGGCGCAGGGTTATGTTGTTCTAGAAGCACAGAAAAGGTTTTGGAGAAGTTAAACCCTGTGTATTTGTCATATCCCACCTGCTAAAGACGACTGTTCTGTGGGTGGCCAAAAGCAGATAAACCTGGGGACTGCTCTGTACAGTCAGCCCTGGAGCCACGAGGGCCATGGCTGTGGTGGTACCTGGGGGTATTTCAGACAGGTCCAAGCTCCAGGGCCTCAAATCAAACTTTGCCAGGGTTTTGTAGCAAATTCTGGTCCTTGTGTGCTGCAGATCCTGGAAAAATAGGAATGGTGCTGCTGGCTGAGCGTAGCCAGGCTGGGAGGACCTGGCTGAGCTGTGGAGCCAGAGGTGAAGGTCTGAGCTGCAAAATAGCTTTGGTTTGAAGAGACATCTCTGGTCCAAACCAGAACCAGCCATGAGAGAGTCAGCTTCATGGTCATGGGCTCAAATCATTGCACAAGGAGGGGAAGCGGCTGGCCTCATGGGGGGGTTCCTGCGTAGCTCCCCTCCAAAAGCTTAACCACTGCCTTAAATAGGGCTTGATAAAGGCCTGTGAGGCTCTGCCTTATCAGCCCATCTCCTTTTTTAATTTCTAAGCAGAGATGCGGAGCATTGATTTCCTTTAGCATGCTCTGCCATTCTTTGAAGAGCCTGGGGCTGGGAGTTGTGTTCCTGAGCAGCATGCCTGAGGTCAGCCAGCTTCCCACCGTGCCTGGGATTACAAATCTAATCTCCAGGCAGCTTCTTTGAAAGCTTCTTGGTTTGTTTGCTTAAGTGGGTTTAAAAGCTACCATCAAGGAATGTTTAAAAATAATGTTTACCATCTTGGAGATGATTTTCTCTCTGAGTATAAGCTTGCCTGACTGATACGAGAGGGTCAATTTGGTGCAAGAGGCCAGGAACAGAAATAGCTGCCCAAATCCTTGCAGTGTGCAGGCTGCTCTCTGCTTTTTCAGCTGCCTTGTAGGGCTGCCCGCAAGGGCAAGGCTGCCGTCGCTCCTCTCCTGAATCTTGTCTGTGGGGTGAAGTGTGTGTTGAAGGAGATAATGTGGGTGCTGTGTAGGTAGGATTTTGTTTCAGAGAGCCAGCTTTGCTGTTAGCCAGAGGTGGATATAGCTGATACGGATTTGGTGGGGGAACAACTAGCCGTGGTGCCTTGTCTTGGCTCTGAGCCCTCCGGTCTGGGTCACAGAGCTGCCATCCTGTGCCAGACCTTGGTGGGACAAAGCAGGAGCTGAGCTGAGGAGCAGCAGCCCCCAAACAGAGGAGCAGGGCTGGGGGAAGAGCATTGGTGTTGCTGTGGGGAGCGGGAGGTTAGTGCGTTCCCCTCTGCCCCGGAGATGGGAGCTCGGGACATATACAGGGTCACGGGTAGGATTGAACAGTTCTGGTCCACATCATATGATGGCACGTGTTTTTGCAGGTGGGTATTTCTGATGCTTTCCTATAATAATTTTGTGGGACTAATTTTTTTTTGCTTCTTGGCCTTGTCCAGACTATAGAGTCTATGCAGCTGGTGGGATGGGATCTGACCTGAGGCCGCACAACTACCTGCAGCACTACGACATGCTCAAGGACATCTGGGTGTCGCTGGCGGCCATGCCCACACCCAGGTACGCTGCCACATCCTTCCTGCGAGGCACCAAGATCTACGTGCTGGGTAAGAAGCAGTCCTGCTGCCGCCTCCTCCTTGGGCAGCAGCTCCTTTGATCTGAGCACTGAGAAACCTCCTTGGAAGAGGCTTTTGGGAGTGCTCTTCTCCATCCCTGCCTGCTTTCTCATGCATTCAGAAACACCAGCTTGCAGCTGTAGGTTTTGAGTGGGGCTGGTGTGGGGTTCGGATTCACAGCTCCATAGCAAGCATCCATGAGAGCCCCTGCACCCTTGAATGCCCCAGGAACTCATGGGTCTTGCAGCAGCTCTGTGCTGGGTGAGTGGCCACCCCTGTCCCAGGCCCATCCATGGCTGCTGGCAGCTGAGGGTACAGCTGGTCTTTGCCAGCTCAATTTGCAGTCCTGTGACTGCACTAAAAGCCCTTGGACTCAACTAGTGAGCAAAAATACCTTTATGCGGTTTATAAGAGCACAGTACTGCGCAGCTTCACAAAGGGTCTGCCTTTGGCAGAGGAAAGACCTGCTGTAGCTGGGAAATGCTGGACCGAGTCTTTTGCAGGGGAGAATTTTCATTATGTTTGGCTTACAGAAAGGGAAACTGAGGCAGAGAAATGTTGCTGTCAGCTCATGGCCAAATGGCATATCGGGATCAAAATGCAGGAGTCCTGATTGTTCAAACTGCCAGACAGCCCTGGCTTTCTTTAGGGGTTACCAGAAAAAAAAACCTCTTTGATCTATTTTGCAGTTTGCTTGCTGCTGGCGAACAGTTTGTGGGCCCAGTAGCGAGCACAGGCTCTGCCTTCAAAGGCACGCTGAGCATCTGAGCTGAGAATAGCTGTATTCATCTGCATCTGATGGGTAGAAGAATAATACGCATCTTTGGCGGTGGTAGCAGCAGCTGCTCTGGCTCTCCTGCTCCGTCAGGAGCTTGGCAGCAAGGCCGGGGCTTGCTGGATTGCACTGGCGCTGAACTCATCTGAATTGCAAAGGCTCCCTGAGAGCTGATCCCTGCTCTGCTGTGAATTTGTCTTGATTAAACTGGTGCATACTAAACACCTTCCTGTGCCAGCGACCCGCTGCTGCTGGTGTGGAGGGAAGCGGAGGGTGTGATGCACTGAAAAATGAAGTGTTGTCATGTCATGAACCTGCAGTTAAAGGAGAGGGAGCGCAAGGGTGAGAAGTTACCTGGCTCAGCAAACCCTCATGCAGGTGACTTGAGACCTGAGGACATCGTATCGGCTGGCAGTTCGCTCTCAGCATGCCCTAGGAGGCTTCTCTGGTTCTTGCTGCTGTTGGCTTGGTGCTATGAGCCAAGCTGACCTTTTTCTTTCCATCTTCCCTGCCCCAGGTGGAAGGCAGTCCAAGTATGCTATCAATGCCTTTGAGGTCTTTGACACAGAGACCAGGTCGTGGACCAAGTTTCCCAACATCCCGAACAAAAGGGCCTTCTCCAGCTTTGTGCCCACAGAAGACAAACTCTTCAGTCTCGGGGGCCTGCGGCAGGGACGGCTCTACCGGCAGCCCAAGTTCATGAGGACCGTGGACATGTTTGATATGGAACAAGGTGGGGGCTGTCCCGGCTCTGTCCTTCCCAGAGGAGGAGGGTGGGTGGCACACAGAGCTGTGCTTTGGGGCTTTGCTGTCCTTGCAGAGCTCAGAGCTCTCATCTGCTGAGTCCTGGGACTGCTGGTGCCTTGAGCTCAGCCTAGAGGAAGGCCTGTGGTCAGGATTAACAAGTCAAGGCAGCAGAGGGGAAAAGCATGGTCCTGAGGTAGCTGGATTCAACAGCTCCCTCCTGACGTGGTGATGAGGAAGCTGACCCCTGTGTCACGGGGTTTTATTTACCCCAAGGTGCAGCAGCAAAACTGTGCTTTCACAAGCAAGTAGGTCAGAGAAGCTAGATGGTTTCCCAGGAGTGGATGCTCCTGTAATACCCAGTCTGTCCTGTCCCTCCCAGGTGGCTGGATGAAGATGGAGCGCTCCTTCTACCTGAAGAAAAGGCGAGCAGACTTCGTGGCTGGCTACCTGAAAGGCAGAGTCGTTGTGGCTGGGGGGCTAGGTGAGGCACTGGGGGATGGTGATAACACTTCAAAAGCATATGTGAGTCATACATTACCGTTACAGAGTAGAGAGATCCTGGCCCTGGCTGGCCTGAGGGAGCAGGGAAAACGGACCCCATAAGGGGATGGGGTCCAGAGCACAGACACTGTCCTGGAGCAGACGAGGGACACTTGCCAGTGCTTCCCAGGTGACCCAGTACCTCGCTTTATGCTTCCAGGAAACCAGCCAACCGTCCTGGAGTCCGCAGAGGCCTTCCACCCCGAGAAGAACAAGTGGGAGAGCTTGCCCCCCATGCCCACCCCACGCTGTGCCTGCTCCAGCATCGTGATCCGGAACTGCCTGCTGGCTGTCGGTGGGGTGAGCCAGGGCCTGAGCAGTGCCGTGGAGGCCCTGTGCCTCTCCGATTCCTAGCTGGCTCCTGCCTGGTGGAGGACCTTGCCCCTCGCTGCCTCCAGCAGTGGTGGTGGTGCTGGTGGTGGTGGTGCTGGGCAGCTCTCAGCGGTGCTGGGGCTGGGTGAGCACCATCCAAGCTGGCCTGGGAGCCTAGCAGCTCAGCTCTGCCTGCCCGTAGTTAAACCCAGCCTTGCTCTGGAGCCATGGCTGGCAGGAGCCCGCAGGGCTGCTCTTCCTCTTCCTCCTGGGTGCTGCCGTTCCAGGCCAGGATCCCCCTCCCAGTTGTCTTCAGAGCTCTACAGGGAAACCCAGATGAAGGAACTGCTCGCAGCGCTGCTGTGTCATGTCTCTTGCCAGCAGGAAGGACTCTGGAGATCAGGGCATTGGCAAGTTCTCCCTGCAGCCATCCTGACCCACTACTGAAGGCGACGGGTTTGAAGGTGTTAGGGTTGTCCAGACAGGTCAGTGGTGATTCAGGGAAAACTGTTGTGATGTTGCCCTCTTCGAGCATCCTGGGATCTACGCGTGCTTCCCTGCATAGATCCCCTTGGCTTGCAACATGGGAAACTCTTAACCTGCAGCCAGACCCAGGGGATCATTCTTTTGCCTTCATAGCAAGGCTTTTCCTGCAAACCTGTAGCATTTGACTGTCACTTTGCCAGGAGCTGGAGCAAGGGGCTGCCAATGCTCCTGGGAGGGATGAATGCCCAAGAGACTGTTTTGGCTAGAGGGAAGACCTTACGTTTGGCACAGGACTAGCACAGATACTGCCTTTGCTGGGTTTCATGCAGAGATGGCCTCAACCTACAATATTCCAACCCTGTTTTTAGCTCCTTTAATGATTTGGGATCTTCTGTTCAGCCCAGGGAGAAAGGAGCAAGACTGAGCCTTGCCTCTGGTTCTGGAGCACTCTCACCCCGGGGCCGGGCAGTGGCCTTGGTGATGGCTTTGTTGGCCATCACCTCCTCTTTGGTTTCGTTCTTCCCAGGCAGTTTGTGGGAGGGCTGTCCAAACCGCCGGGTTACAATTCTAGCTTATAGCAGTTGCACCATTAAAAGCTGTCTTCAGAAAAAAAACTTCGGAGAAGGCTGGCTGTGCTCCGGACTGCATCAGGACTGTCATTTTTATGAAAAGCTGGGACCCAAATTAAAAAGGGGTTGGGGACGGGGCGGGGGGCTAGCGCAGGCAGCCATCCCGGGGGTCGGTGGGCTATCCCGTGCCTTGGGCACTTGCCCCATCGCTTGTTCCTTTCCGCGGTGTCCCATCCCTCTTTTTTGCAAGCGGTTCCTGGGCTGCAGGGAGAGGTTTGGAGGAGGAGGGGGGATCCCCGGGGGCAGCTGCGGGGCTCCGCCGGGGCCGGACCCGCTCCCGCCGCTGCGGAGCACCGAGGACACCGTGCGGCGGCCGCCGCAACGGCAGGGATGGGGACGATGGGGATGGGGACGATGGGGATGGGGACGGGAAACCCCCGAGCTGGGCTCCCCGGGGGGGTCAGGGACCGGCTCCTCTGCCTGTATCTCCTCCGAGCATCACTCCTCTGGTGAGACTGGGCTGGGGCCGGCTCCTGCCCCTTCGCGGAGAGGGATGTTCGTTCCTGTGTGCCGGTATTTGCGAGGAAGCGAGTGGTTCCTTTTGAAGTGCAGCCCTGTCGGCTCCGAGTCCCCTCTCTCTGATCCCAAAGTGCTGCGTAGCTCAGAGGAAAGGGGAAAGGCACCAACTCTGCAGCTAATAACCTACTCGCTAATTATTTACATCCCACCCGCTTGTCCCAGGCCGTGTACATAGGCACAACAGTGTTTGTCCCCATCCCTTGTCACGTTCCCGTCTGTGGTCCTGATGCTTTGTTCGTCCAGGCGCCGTGTTTTGGAAGGCTGTATAGATACAAATATCTAACTGCAGAAAGGAGCTCTACCCCTGATGCAGATACGCAGCTCCGGCCAGGGTGGAGGAGCTGCCCGCAGCAATGCTGGGTTGTGTTCCAGGCCTCCGGTGAGGAGCACGGAGCCCAGCAGAGACAATCTTGACATAGTGCAGTCGAGCAGGGCTCCAGGGTGAGATCTGCTGGGGGGTGAGGCTGCAGGGAAGGGTGAGCGGGGCACCGGGGCCAGGCATTTCTGTCTAACAGCATCCTTGGATGATTAAAGGTCTGCTGGGTCTAGCAGAGCTGAGGGAAGGTGCTAAGAGCACCCCTCTGCGTGTGCAGCCCTGGGGGTGCTGTCTGCTGACCCCAGAAGGCTCATAAAACATCCCTTTGAACTGTAAAAATTGGAGGAGGACGGAAGAGGCTTGGAAGGAAAGAGGGAGCCTGCTCCCCTTCTAGAACAAACCCTGTGTCTCCTAGTGCAGCGGATCTCCATTTCACCTGCCTCTGCACAGCCGAGAGTCTCTAGCTCTTAATGAAGTGTTTTCCTTTGTCCTTAAGGAACCTTTCCCACACACAGCACAGCCTGATGCTCCTCTGCTCTTGCTTTCTCATTAGCCCTGAGCCCTGTTTGTTGCAGTGAGGCCGCGCTGGTCGAGGCTCAGGGTTCGGTGCTGCTGGGCTGGCTTTGTTAAGCTGGAGCAAGGGGAGGGGGAATCTGCTCTCTTTGTCTGGCTGCAGCACAGCTGGAGGCTGATCCTTTGCTTTCTCCCTCCAGAAAGGCTGGAGAGAGTGACAGACAAAGCAGTGTCATGGGAGTAAACCCGCTCTAGGACATAATGAAGAGATGGGGGACTGGGGACAAGGCTGGGGGGAGATGGTCAGTAATCAAAGCTGGGGGGATGTGCTGAGCATCATTTAGAGAGGGAGAGAAAGAGGAACTCTCTGAGTTGCAGCATAGTGAGAAGCAGATCCGGGTCAGCTGCCTTTGCGGTGAAACCCAAGCTCTCATCACCAAACAAGATCCCTGGTACGTCCGTCCCCAGAGCTGCTGTCTCCCCAGCCAGCAGCAGGTCACTCTGCGGTGCTGGGGATGCTTTTCCCCATGCTGGTGCTATGCAGAGTCAAGTTTTCACAAGAGCTTGAAACCTAGATGTCATTTAGACTTTTCCAGGTGTAGTTCCCATCCTGAGCAGCTCTCCCAGGGGTTTGTTTCCATGTCTATCCTGATTTCAGGGACTGGGGGGCTTCCTGAGCAGCTGTGAGCTTTTGCTGTGACCCCTAGTGCACTCTGCAGCCACCTCCTGCTTTGTCTGCTGGCTTCTCCCCAAAATCTGCCAGGAAAAGCAGCTGCTGAGACTTCAGACACTTCCAGCATGCCTCTGCTGCACCGTGCTTCCAGATAACACCCACTTGGAGGCCTCTGTACCTGAAAAATTGAAGCACTTTCCCTAGTAATAATGTCATTTGCTTTTTACCAGCAGATCATAAATGGCTTAGCAAACACAGAGAGGTAACCAGGCAGCAGGAAGGTGAGAAAAGCCGTACCCGTAATTACGTGGTCAGTGGCAAAAGCTACGATTAGAGGGTAGGTCTGATTGGCCCCTGTGCTGGGCTCTGCTTGTGGGAGCCCACCACTTCGGTATGGCCCCTCTGATCTGGCTTTTGGTGGCTTGAGTTCAGCCTGGTCCCTAATGGGGCTCAGGGACCTCCTGGGCTCTGCCAGTGCCTGACCCCTGCTGAAGGAACCTGGCTGTGTTTTCAGACTGTCTTTGATTGCTTCAAGAAAAGGTTTCAAACTTTTAAGCATGCTTTTGAGCTGTTCTGCTGGGTGGCAGAGCAGCCCAAGGTGGGGCTGGAGGAGCTCTGCTAATTAATCATGGAATAAGAGATTTAATGAGATTGCTGCAGAAGCCAGGGAAAATCAACCCATAATTCAAAACACAGAGTTTGTTACAGCCACTCGCCCTGGAACAGGCTATTTGAGTATCCACCCCAGATGTCCATGTATGCAGTGTGAATGGCACTAAGCAAAAACAACCCGATGGCAGAGACTCGGAGGTAAGAATGTGTCCCATCCACAGCACTTGCACTGCACCCCGAAAATGGCTTGGTCAATGCCATTCCTGACCCCCAACCCCTCCTGGGCTTCCTTGCTATTGCTGGACTTCTCTGGGGGCTCATCCATGGATCTTCTCTGGACCAAGGGCATCTCTCTCATGGGGATGATGGGTGTCCAGCAATCAGCAGCGAGCCGTTAGGCAGCACCAGGTTATTTAAAGTTGCTTCTGGGCTTATCAACAACTGGAAGGAGATGCTGTGGGACTCCAGCCACAGCCACCTTCTTGCCAGCCACCCAGCCTCCTTTGAGAACCAGCAGCCCTTCCCTGGCTCCTCTTGGCTCGTGGGAAAACCCTTCTAGTGGGTTGAGATTCCCTCCAGGAGCAGGTGAAATCCTCCAAACTTTCTCATTACCTCTACAGGCTTGATGGTGGCATTCACTAGTTCCAGCATGCTGGCAGACAGGAGCTGGAGGATTAAGTGTCTCCAGTGATGATTCTCACAACTGCACCTTGAATCGTGCTGTTCTGTGTTGTTCCTACTGCTGTGGGAAATAGAAGACTGCAGGAGATAATCTGCTTTTGTTTGCAACAAAAGGGCTGTGCCTGCCCTCCAGGTGATGGAGATGTGACCCTGAGCCAAGGCTGGGGAGCAGGGAGGTGAATCAGATGCACCCTGACTGTGTGTGTAGGGTTGTTTGTTTTTAAGAAGTGCTGTGCTTGTTTGGGCTGAGCAGTGCTGGATGGGCTCCCAGTCTCCTCCCAATGCTCTGAACGGCAGATGGCATCCATGGGCTGAGCCCAGGCTGGACCAGCACCTCCTGGCAGGCATTCTGCTGGAGCTGGGGGGGGTGCCCTACCCAGGTGGTGATGGACTATGCTGCTGACATCACAGGCTGGCTCCAAAATGCCTTTTTGGGTTGTGCAGGGATCCTAGCTGATGGCATAAGGATCTAGCAAATAACTTGATATGAAAAGGATGTTATGCATCTCCTCCAGCATTTCGTTCCCATGAACAGGCATCACCTCTGAGCCTAGACACCTTGCAGTAGCTATGACACGAGCTGAATTCTGTTCTTGGGTCTCCCAGGCAGATA